AATAAATAAGTAGAAATATAATTATACTTATTTTTCATTTAATAATCAGGAAAAATTCATTACATATTTATTTATTTTTAACTATATATGGATGAAACTATTCTCAAGAAATTTTGAAAATAGTTTTATAATTGTTGTGTAATAACTTTTCATAAGGAACAACAAAGTTATTCTCATAAATTGAAATTATCAAGTGCTAAAAATGTTGACTTTCACAATTTAGTTTTTTAAATTTATTGTTCTGATTGAACTTGCATTTGATCGCATGTAAAGTTGAACTTACTAAAAATATATTCTTAAAATCAACCAATAAAAATATATTGTTCAAATCAAAAAATCAAAATAAATTCTTAAAAGGTTTAAGAGTTTATCTATATTTGTTATATAGAATAATTAAAAACTATTATAAAAAGCTAATGACAATATTTTGTATCCAAAATATCTATTTAAACAATAAATAAATAAATGATCATAAACTATATAAAAAATATTTTATATTATATGAGAATAATTATATAATCATGGTAAAAAATTTGTTTATAAGTAATTATTAATATAATATTATAATGCTATAAAGATAAGAGTTATACCTAACATAAGTGTGGCTTAGTGATTAATAATGCATGTCTTAATTTCATGATACAAGTTCAATTCTTACCCAAAATATATATTTTAAAATATTTAACACATTAATATCAATTACAATTATACTAATTATATCTCAGATAGAGTTAAGAGAGTTATTTTTAAATTTATTGTCCAACAATTTGAAAAAGTGGTACCGATACTTTTTCACAATAATTGAATAAATGTTATTTATATTTTTTATAGTATTTATAAAATTGTGGCTAAAACATTTAAACTGTAGTAGTGGGTGATCTAAAAAATATTGTTTAATCTCATGCTTTAGCCAATAATTTTTATTATAGAGTGATCATTAGTAAAAAATCGTTGCTTATAACAAAAATATATCCATTTAGAGTGTACTTGAATAATCATTGCCTATACTTTTAGTAACTGTTTTTTTTAAATTTTAGAAATTGTTTATTGTTTATCGCTAAGGAAAAAAGTTATTGTAGTGATGTGTGTCCACCATATTTCATCAACTCAAGGATTTATCCCGTTTGACTTATCCAGTGACTTTTAGAGACAACTTTTATTTCATTTAAAAAATAAGCTTTTATTTATTTTAAAAAAAAAGTCTTTGCCAAACACCCACCTTAATACATTTAAAATATTATGTTTGAGCAACAATTCAATTAACTAAATGTACATTTTATCTATTTCTCAATGCCATTGACTTAAGCTTTTTTTCTTAAACCATCATTAATTTTAAGTTAAATTGAATCTCAATTAATCTATTGAGTTAATATAAGTATACTTATTTAAAGAGATAAAATTCTTCAAATTCAATTACTTTTTTCCATTTACCAAAAATTCGAACTTCTGAGTTTACCTAAAAAGTATAAAGACTAACAAGTTTTGGTTCACATTCTAGTTTTAAGATGGCAGAAGTCCATAAACAAAGATACCAATTTGAGGCCATTAATTGCAATCACGAGGCATCTTTTCTTGTATGGTCAGTGAGGGTATGGGTTTCTTGTAGGTACAAGTTTAAAGGGATGGATATATTTAACATTGTACAGAGCAAAGCAATGCAGATATGTCATGGATAGTGCCTATATGATATACAAAATGCACATTCTCATAGCGCTGAAATTTTTCATATGTAGTTAATAGCAAAGTCTGGAACCTTTTCGAGATCATTATATTCCCGATTATGATAAAATTTTAAGAACAACTTATAAAAAATTTAAAATTATATTAAAATTAAAATACTTAATGGAAGAGAAGTCGTGTAGTATAATAAAGAAGAAAATTAATTTGTAAAAATACCGAGAGACTCATGTTTCATAGAACTTAACTTGAAGAAATAATAGACTAGGAAAATTTCACAGAGGTGACGTAGTTCTTTGGAGCATGGTAGCGTAACTGAAAACCCCACTCCATGCATCTAAAATTTTGCGGGAAAATTGAAGGTGCATGGAGAGGGAAAAGAAAGAAAGCACTTGTCCTTATAACCAAACACAAAGCAACGGGGCAGTGTAGACATTTTTGACTTAGATAGCAAAAGTAGTGCAGTGTTGGGCCTATAAGCAAAAGTAATTGAAACTCATAATGTGGGAAACACATATGGGTAGGTAACTGGAACATGATGCGTGCAAATGAAGTGGGTCCAAACTCCTTTGACAAATTGTTGCTTTACTTACCGACAGGGATATCTAGGATGTAGATTTATTTGCTGACACTATCCTTGTCCCTGCCTCATGCATCCTCACCATTAAGGTACTCCCTCCCATGCAGAGTACATGTTTTTTAACCTCCTTCAACTTCAATAGTCTATCCCCATCTTCATCTTTTGTTCTCAGTATATATAGTAGGTAATTTATTCATTGAACTTTAAATGTAATATAGCTAGCTGTAACTTCAAGAAATAAAAAAGGGTAGTCAGTGTGAACAGCTTTTGGATCATAAATTCCTCTTTTGTTTATGCTTTTTTATTTATTTTTCATTTTGTTATTCTTCTTATCAGTTTGCATTAATTTTACAAATTCTGAAGTTTATAGTGTTGGTCATATATCCTCCCTTTCAAATTATAATTGGTACAAGGAAAGAAAAGTAATCACGAAAGAACTGCTAACATATAATATACAGGGATGATGTGAGTAGAATGTTTAGATACGAATAGATGTTTATAAAATTTAATGAATATAAGCGAAAGTACAATTATTATAATATTTATACCTATTTACCTATATTATATATATAAACACACACACATGTAGTTATATAAAATTAAAATTAAATTTTTAAATAAATGGTTTTGTTTGCAATTTTGTACATTATTTGATATACCTTTAAAAAAAACTTTTTTATTTTATATGAATATTTTTGTTTTATTCATAAAAAAATTTAATATATATATTATATTTTAGTTAATAAACTGAAGATAATATATGAGTATAAGAAACAAATTATGACAAATACAAGGATAGATTCAAATATATATTTTTAAAAATCCGTGAATAAAGACTAGTACTATATTATCTTGCCTAAATTTAGTCATTGCCATCTCAAACTACACATCCAGACTTGTTTAATCATAAATTTTTATGGTAAATAATTTGTAAGTTTCAACTGATCTTGAAATTGAGTGTTTTCCTCACCATTTTTTCCCCTTCTAAAAACAGATAAGTGAAAGGCAATCCCTGATGAAAATTGTGTTGGCTGGGGGAGTTTGTCTTTGTAATATCACGAGAACCTCCAACAGCCACAATAAAGGTAGTTAATATCTCAGTGATATGGTAGATCAAACTGCAGTCAGAGGCTCAGAAATCCACACAAAATTTCCCGACAATAACTATTTTAAGTGTGTCTATTCCCACACTGTACACATATATATATATATATTGAAATGTCAATAAATACTCCTTGACTAGTTCTATATTACTTATTTGTATTAGCTACTGAGAGAGAAGTATATATATATATATATATATATATATATATATATATATATATATATATATATTTATTTATTTAACACAGTAAATATTTTTAAAAAAATTTGAATGCTAAAATTCAACCTTAACAAAATCTTTTAATTTATTTATCCTCTCCTGTGGCTGTGAATTTGTTTTCTTTTATTGTGAGATTGTGACACATTCAAGAATATACTTATTAGTTCAAATTTTCAACTGGAATACCGGAGGGCCCCTCAGTCATGAAAGGAACACGTACTCTCTCTCTACATACATATCTTTCAACTCACATAAATTTTGACATATACATTACATATGTATAATTAGTATCACCGTTTTCTGGTTAGTGTGTCCCCCTCAGGTGAATTTTCATAATTAATAGTCTTTTAAACTGTATCTGTCAACTGCAGCTATAAAATCTTGAGGGAAAATTCTGTGATTCTGAATGACAAATTTATTCTACAAGGGGAGTAAGAAATTACAACTGAACTTTTTAAAAAATCATAGAAATCATGTGATCTACGTGCGCCTTATTGATTTGAAAGTGGTCTCCATAATGTACAAAACTCCATTGTCTCCTAGGGCCTTTCGATAGTTAAAATATAAATGGTAACCAATTTGTTAGTTAAATTTAAAAGTTAAAAAATATAAATTATGAAAGTATATAATAAACTTAAACACATAAGTAAAAAAATAGAGAATTTAAAATACAATTATTAATTTAAATCCATAGCATCTGTAATATTGAAATGCAATAAGAGTTTCATGCGTGTGCCCAAGTTTTATTTTCCCTTAATCAATAGTTGCTTACACAAGTAACCTTTACTTGAAATTAGCTGCCGTGTCTTATCAAGTTTTCCAACCATTGCTTAATTTTAAAAGCAACTTAAAAAAAATGACTTTAGAAATGCTCCAAGTAACTCACGTTTATGATGAAAAACAGATCTTTTAAACTATAAAAAAGTAGTAAATAAGTTGTGTCTTAAGAAAAATCGCAAATAAATTGTCACCTTGAAAGTAATAAGCTCTATTTTATTATATAAAAATGAACAAACAAATAAATATATAAACTTTTTAGCTTGTTTGAAAGTTATACCCTTTACATCACCGGCAAAAGATAAGAATTTAGTGCACCTCAATAATTGATTATCTTCTAGAAATAAGTGCCTGAATTTTTAACTTTGGACAGTATTAAAAAACAACACCCCAAACTATTTTAAAAAATCCCAACAGCCAACTTTTTTTTTTTTCATTTGATTTGGTGATTCCTTTTTACTGTCAATTTCACATCTATTTATTTATTTACCATCAATAAACTTTGAAAAAACATTGCGAGTAATAATCTCCAAAATCGTGCATTTAAGATGAAAATATAATAAAAACTTCTTTTATTGGTCAACGAGCCGTAAGTTAGGAGTGCAAGTCTATAAAAAGGTCTAGCACCGAGTACTCGAAGTCAATGTGTATTCTCTCCATTTCTTCGTAATAAAAGGGGAACAAGAGAATAGGAGAAAAAATATTTATTTAATACAAGCCAAAAGACGAAATAATTAATTAAAATAACTTCAAATATACTATAAAGCAGATGAAATTCTGAAGGAGTTCCGCTGGGTAGAAACCTAAGTGGAGTCTAAAATACCGTGATAAGTTAAGTCTTTAGGAGAAGGAAAAATGGGTCAGCTAATGACGAGGCCGAATGAATTGAAAATCTCGAAAAGTCTTTTATCAAAAGTATTATAACTTATAACCAGCTTTTCAATTCATTTGGGCTTCATTGTTAGCTGGCCCATTTCTCCTTTTCAAAACATAGACCCATTTTGTTAGGGGCCTGCTATCAAAAGGACACAAGTTTTGATTAAACTCAAAAGTCCAAGACTGTATGAACTCCATATGTTGATTGAATATATACGGTGTATCTTGCAAAGGGATGACATTTCAGGCGACAAGATCAACTTCATCACGGTCAGGGGAAACCACATCTAATCTCATCATGCTCCTATATTGATCAGGAATGGGAGCCCCAGCATGAACACAGAGTTCCACCACAGCAGGAGCCTTGCCATAATATCTCTTTAGATTGTTATTCAAAGCAGACCCATTCAGGTCCTCAACATGCCACACAAAATTTGGACTCACAACATCATCTATTGTTGCCTCTTGCCATGCATGTAAACCGTTTCGAGACTGATGCTTTGAAGCCTTGCACATTCTTAACTTATGTCCTTTGGGACCAACCTGGACCTCTGGACAATAGCCGCAAGTATTCACAACATACTTCTCCATGATCTTCTTTGCACCTAATGTCATCTCAAACCATGAGTCCAGTGTATGTTTACTTAAGTCCCTTAACTTGTTCCTTTCTTCATCACTCAACTGATCCAAATGGCTTATGTTGTCATTGAATAAATTTTGGACCTTCTCTACAGGCTGGGTCAACACAAAGGATGGATTCACAGACTGCTGCTCATTTTCAAAAGAACATTTTCTGTCATTTTTGTCCTCTTCCGCAACAGCTTCAAAATCTACAATTCTTCCTTCAATACAATACACGGGTTTTGTTCTCCTTTTAGTGGGGTACTTTTCAAGGTCTAGACCTGCTTGTATACAGAGTTCAACAATGGCAGGTATACGAGGAACACAGAATCTTTCATCATGCCCAACTCTTGGTTTACCAACACGGTCATACAGATGAAAACATTTAGGGAAGAAAATCACATCTCGAACCCTTCCCCTCCTCCAAATATGCATTGCATTCCGTGAAAAACTCTTCGGTCCACTACATGATCGAATTTCATGACCCACATAACCAATGTGAACCTCATCACAAAGCCTGGTAAGCAGAAACCACCGTTAAACATGAAGCCAGCAAATACAAGCCAATGCAATTTGTTGGATTTGCACTACAAAATATTATGAAGCCCAGATCAATAATAACACATCAATGTTCGAGAGTCAAGAGTGGATTCTAAGGCTGTTTCCAGTAGCCCTATACCATCCATGGTTCTTGTCATCATTACACAGACACCGAACCCTGATCTTTTAGTCTTACAATATCAACAAGATCTATTCCTCATATATCACCGCATGATGCTTCATAGGAAATTAATTTCTAAAGAAACACAAAAACACAAAATTAATTCTACTGATTAAAAATAAAACCTCGTAATTTCTACAGACCCCAACTCTAAACGATTATAGACTAATAAATGATTGAACTAACAAAGAAAGGAAGAAACAAAAGAAGCATATACAATCAACACTGGTTATGTTACTAAGCAATACTCAATTTTCATTTATATTAATTAGAAATCAAACCCTACAGAAAGTCAGCAATGAAAGTTAAACATCAACTGTTTCTTAAAATATTTAAACAAGTTCAAAATGCAATTGTGCAAACCCGGTTAGCAGCAACACAATCTGATTTCTCAATTAGCCGCAATTTCAAGGTGACTACTCAGAATTCAGAAGCAAGGATTAGTTTGGGATATTTTAATTTAAATTAAAAAAGTTATATATTATTACTGTAATAAACACATAATTAATACATTATATTTATATCAATATACTAATTTATATTTTTTATTTTAAAAAGATATTAATTTTAAATATATTTATTTAAAATACAAATTTTTTCTTTTCCTTCCCTTTCCAAAATTCTCCGTCCCAAACAACCCTATCAATCTAAGATTAACAGCTAAATAATAAACAAATCAATGAACTTTACATACCCGCACCGCAATACGGGAATGACTCGGACGAGTTGACTCAGACCGGAGAGGAGAGACCTACGAGCTTGATAGACGCGATGAGCAATCTCCACCAGTTCCGGAACCAGCAATCCGTTCGCCGGGGGTTCTTCCAGAACGCGACATGGCTGCGCCTTTCGCGCTTGTCTCTCCGCCTTCGCTCTCTCAATCAGAACCTTCATCGGCGTCACATAAGCCTTCCTCTCCGATTTTCTCCGGCAAGGCTTCGGCACGTCGGAGTATTGGGATCCATCGTCAACGGATGCCGCCGCTGGCCAAGTCTCCGACGCCAAAGAGAGGGTTGGGTTTAAACGATAAGATAGTTGTTTCAGCAGAGAATGATTCGAAAAGGTGACGGTGACACGCATGTCATCCCCGCCGTGCCGGGAAACTAGGTCTTAACGAGTTGGGAATGGAAGTTCGGCGAACCCTTTTATTTTTTTTGGTCAAAACGTTCGGCAAGGGCAAGGGGCCATAAAATTGGGGTAATTGGGTTAATCTGTGAAGTGATGAGTCCATGTCCAAGCTTGCCCAACGGTCCAACTTGTCATTTTTTATGGTCCAATAATATTGTGTTTTTGTGTTTGCTCTAATTGAATTTGGGCCCAAGTCATGTAATCTTTACTCTACCAAAACAGTGTAGAAGTGAAAAAAAGGTGTAGAAATGATAATTCATTATGTTAAATTAAATATAAATTTTAAAAAAATTAATTTTGTGAAAAGTAATCAAATATTAATTTTCCTATAAAATAAAGTTGCAATTAAAAAACGGTATTTTATGAGATTTTAACGTTATCACACACTAACTTCCTCTAAAGTAAATGATTTTTTTAAAAGAAAAGAACACTAACATGCCCCAAAGTAAAAATAGAAAACACAAATGTGAGGATGAAAGAGAAGTAGTTGTTTCATTATCTGCAACAGAAACAGTGTGGCACTGACAGTATCGGAATATGGAGAAGGTGGTGTGTGTGACAGGCGGTAGCGGGTGCATTGGTTCATGCCTGGTCCGTCTCCTACTGGATCGCGGCTACACCGTTCATGCCACCGTTCAAAATCTCAGTTACCTTTCACCCCGTTTCCATTCATTCATTTTCATTAATTATTACAACAGAAAACATGCACAAGTTCTTAGTTCCTTTTCCTTTTTATTTATTTTTTAAATCATAATAGACGATGAAGTAGAGACGAAGCATCTAGAAGCCCTGGATGGAGCGTCGACCCGTCTCCGCCTCTTCCAGATCGATCTCCTTCACTATGATTCCATCGTCGCCGCCGTACGCGGCTGCGCTGGCGTCTTCCACCTCGCCTCTCCTTGCATCGTTGACCAAGTTCATGAGCCTCAGGTATTCTTCGAATTTAAATAAAATCTCTTTAAGTTTTCTATCTTTTTGACGTTTTGCTGGACCCCATTTTGGTTCTGCATGAAGAAGGAGCTTCTGGACCCAGCGATTAAGGGAACAATGAATGTGCTCGCGGCCGCGAAGGAAGCAGGGGTGAAGCGCGTGGTGGTCACTTCCTCAATTTCTGCGATCATGCCGAGTCCCAATTGGCCTAGTGATGTTGTGAAGAGAGAGGAATGCTGGACTGATATTGAATACTGCAAGCAAAAGGGGGTTAGAGAGGGTTTTCATTCGCTGTGTTTACTTCTGTGTTTTGTTGGGTACTCATTGTTAAGTGTAATATGTGTTTGTGGAACAGTTGTGGTATCCGTTGTCCAAAACTTTGGCTGAGAAAGCTGCTTGGGATTTTGCTAAGGAGAATGGTTTGGATGTTGTGGTGGTGAATCCTGGAACTGTCATGGGTCCTGTTATTCCACCAAGACTTAATGCAAGCATGCTCATGCTTCTGCGTCTTCTTCAAGGTAGATTTACATGCCTAATCATTCCTCTTTCTAGTTGTGTGCTCCCATGGGAGTATGAATATCTTTGAGCTTTGTTTTTTATAGAGTTGTTTTCTGCCTTTTTCCCTCTGAAAGTTGACTGTATGAACTGGGAAGTCTCTTAATTAGGGTATGTTTGGTTTCCGTTGAATTTCCACATAATTACATTTACTTCATTCTAACATGATAGTAGAGAAAAATAAAATAAAATTGATGTTTGGTTGTTCTTGAACATAATTGATTTTTCTTTCGAACGTGCATTAGAGCCAACGTGATAAATTGTAGCTTTGCATTCAGTTGAAAAATTTATACTGATTTTTACTAAAAATTTAGGGTTTACTAAAAATTTACTTTTAAGATGAAAGTTTTCAAACATAAATCACATTACTTTAAATTCACTTTTAAATGAAAATTCTACTGTGTGTGTGTTCCAAGAATGCTGCCCCCAATGAATATTCATTTTATATGAAGCTTTGTCGCTGCATGGTGGATGATTGCACTCTGCCTAGTTTTTATCATTGTTCATGCAAATACTAATATTGAATGTGTATACAAAATATTGCCAATTTATAATTTTTAGGGGGTCCCTGATAGTTTTTGTTTTGTCTCTGTTGTGTTGCAGGCTGTACTGAAACATTTGAGGACTTCTTTATGGGGTTGGTTCACTTTAAAGATGTTGCATTGGCGCATATTTTGGTGTATGAGAACAAAGTAGCAGCTGGTAGGCATTTGTGTGCTGAAGCTATCTCTCACTATGGTGACTTTGTGGCAAAAGTTGCTGAACTTTATCCGGAATATAATGTGCCTCGGTAAGTAAGTCATACACTTACTAGGTTTATCGGCTAAAAGATGAAAAATGATCTTTGGATAAGTAATTAAGAAATCAGTGATGTTGCTTGGCTCTGGAATGAGTAACTTCATTTTATTTGAACATTAAGCAATATCACGATAATAACTAATCTATCGTCTATGCCATTAATCATTTCTTCTCAAATAGGTTGGGTTTGTGCGCTTAGGGATCCTATAATCCAAAACTTTGCTTATACTGTGTCATTTTCCTTTAAAGGATGCAACGAGATACCCAGCCAGGATTGTTGAGAGCAAAGGATGGATCGAAGAAACTTATGGATTTGGGATTGGAATTCATTCCAATGGAGACAATCATCAAGGATGCTGTAGAGTGTTTGAAGAACAAAGGGTTCATTTCTTGAATGATGATATTTGGAACCTCAGTTAGAACATAAATTATATAGACTGGTGATGGTTTGTACTACAAGTACTCGTGGCATTGTGAGTTCACTCTGTAGATTTTGTTTACTCAAATGTTTACGCTAAGTGACTCTGACTTAATAATCGTCATTTCATTGTCATTCTAATACTATTCTTTAATAATAATAAAGAAACTAAAATAGATAGGGAGAGTTTGAGTACTAGAAAATGTATATAACAGTGACTCATGGATATTTTGAACCTTTTCCTGAATTGTTAAGTGTGTTCTTGGATATATTTAAAGCCTTTGGTTCAAATTAATAGAAAAAGGCATCTTAATGAAGTAATCAATGGATTTAATGTTTTACTTGGGCGAAGAAGGAAAGTGCTTCATGATACATGCATAAACTAAAGATAATATTGTTTTTGCACCTTGTATGTTAGAAGTAGCGCTGACCAACTTCAATATGCTCTGAATTTGTCATGGTTCCTGACTCACATTTTTAGATGATAGACAGAACTCACTTGACATAACGTTACCGGCATTAAGAAGAGCATGAGACAACTATCAGATTCCAAGACCATGAGCTATGTATGAAATAAACAACAACAGCATTATTCAAGAACCCAACTTTTTCAATCACAACTCATTGCACAAAAAGCAAACAAGAATGCAATAAACAAATAAGTTGAATGGACGCTCTAAGCAAGTGGTTGGTTCTTCATCTGAGCACACTTATTACTGGAACGTGTGCTATCTTATCCCAATCCTCCCCTGTTCCCTTCTCACACCGCTCCATCAATGTTGGGGAGCCCCGAATCTTCATAATCTTAAGCAAAGGAAGGTGGCGAAAACCTTACGGCAACGATATCAATGCTTCACAGCGTTTAATAATGATAATTAAAAGGGAGCGTAGACCTTCCCAACCTTGTTCTGGTAAGCACTCCAGTGAACCACAGTAATGAATGATTAGAGTCTCCAAAGCATTTAGACGGAAGAGTTCATATGGTAATTCCTTCAATTTGCAGAAATTAGATATTTGTAGATCTTTGAGATAAGTCGCGTTTCTCAACAGTTCTTCTGGGAAGGATGTCATTGTCCGATCTACATCATTTTGGAGGTCAAGGGAGATAAGACAAGAGCAACAAGACATTGATCTTAGTAACTCATAATTACATCCAATTATAGAGAGATTCTTAATTGATGGCAGGCATGTCAACGCAAGTGTAAGACAACTTATTATATTATACATACATTTCTTTAACGATGTTTTAGAAAATTATTATTTAATTTATAAGTATGTGTATTTCATTATCATAACTGTGATTGAAAGTATATTTTATTCTAATGGTGTATATTTGTGAACTCTTTATTGATCAGCGAATTTTTGGATAGACAATTAGAATAAATTCATTTTTAAATTTTTTTGTTATAAACAAGTTTTATAATTGTAAATTACTCATGCTTTATTTATTTATTTATTTTTAGTTATTATATTCTTATTAAGTCTATATGATTCAATTTATTTATTTATTATTTTTAGATCATCTAGTAACAAAATTACAAGTTACAGGAAATGTCAATTTATCCCAATAAGATCTCTATTTTTAAGATGTTAAAACTACAAATGAAACTTCGCTAAGTTTTTGACAAATTTGTTTTACTATTTGTTTAAAAAAGTTTATTGTTTCATGTATTACTTTGTAAACAGGTTTATTAGGTTATGTCATGAATTGCCATTAACATTTTCAATTTCTTTTGATTGTAAGTTTTATTTTGACCTTTATGTATAACAATATTTTTTTTAATTTGGTCCCTGAGAAAAAATACTTTTTTTTTTCAAAATTTTAATCCCTATAATTTGATTTAATACACGAATAAAAATAAAAAATGTGTTATATATAAGAATTAAAATAAAAATATTTAAATATGAGATAATGAGATAACAACATTATAAAAAAAAGTTAACAGTATAGATTATTTCAAATTTTGTCTATTTAAGAACTTATTTAAAATTTTCTTGTAAGTTTCTAGTAGTAATCGGGTTTTAGTAGGTTTTTATCTTCTTTTCTTTTTCTTAATTTCTTATTTCCCTTTTTTTCTTCAAACGTTCTTAGGATTTTAGTTTTGCTTATTTTTTCACATTGATTATTGGTCTTTTGGATAAATTTTGGTTGAGGTTTTAATTTTTAGTTGCCGGATATTTAGTGCCTAGACGCAGAACCATTTAGTGTCTCTGATAGTTCAGTGCCCAAGTGCAGAAGAATTGATACCCAAGCACAACGTTGCTGACGTGGAAAATTTATCTAAGCGGCCAAGTTATAAGGAAAATGGGAAGGCACATTTAGGGCAACAAGTATTGGGGGAGAGAAGTAAGATTTAGGAGATTCCTATTCATTTTCTTCACAATGAAATAGTTAATAGATTAATTTTTTATTTCTTATATTTTTTATTTTAATTTAAATATATTTTTACTCCACATTTTAATAATTTTTTATTTTATTTCTTTTTTTTTAGTTTTTAATGTTAACGTGTTTAAACCAAAAATTGACATGTGTCGATATTTTAATAGACAAAATTAGTATTAAAAATTAAAAATAAAAGGTTATACAAATATAGGGACTGAAACAAAAAATATTTATCAAAAAGAACTAAAACTGAAAATTCACTAAAATGTGACAGTGAAAAATATATTTAAGCCTTCTACTTTTAATATATTAGTGAACTCTTTAAACTATTTTTTGATAATGTTCAGGGTTGTAATATAATTATGTATTTTTTTTTACTCTCATTTTTTGCTTAATGTTTACTTTGTTAGTCTGTACTTAATGCTTAGTATGTCTTAACTAGTCATAATTAATAACATTGTTGATATTGAAAAATGAAGTAATAGATTGTAAATCATGATTTAGAAGCCTCAACCCTTCATCTTTTAGTAATAGATATCTTTAGGTGTATATTTTTATGATTTTTTTTGTATTTTAATATCTTGTGCTTACTGGTCATCATATAGGAAATTCATACGAATCAAAATCATCGGCCATATTTGTAAGGTAGCTCAACTTTTTTAATAAATAACTCTTTGCTTAACGTTTCAGCATGATTATCCTGGAACACAACCTTTTTTATTCACATCTTATGTTACACACAAACAAAAGAAAACATTATTTTTGCAACTTGTACATTAGAAGTAACTATGGTTAAGTTCTAATGCTCTGAACTTGTACTGGTCTCTAACCCAACTTGACATTGCAGAAATTGCCTTTCCATTGATAGACAACATCCAATTGATGCCACTGACGCTAAGAAAAATTTGAATCAGTAAGAACAATAAGTGACATTTATCAACTTATAAAAGAAAATCTATGAATTAAACAAACCTCTGTTTTAACAGGGAATGGTCCCTTCATAAGTCCTCATGAAAATTGACAAATATTTACCTGTAAAATTGACATCACATCAAGTAATAAACGTCACTTTGAACTGTGAGAAACTTGTATCCTAAGAACCGCATGCACAAGGATTTAATTGCAGGACTAATTCTTGAGGAAGAAGATCCTTTGCAGATAAAATTTTAACTGCTCTCGATGTTATTTAATGATTCGATTCCAATGGCCATTTTAGTATTTTCGAATCCTATAGTTGTATGCAATAATTAAAGGAAATAATTTTCATGATTTGGATGTTGTGAAGTTGTAAAACAAATGCAAACAACTCAAATCCTTCTGATTTATTTCCTACCATGTAGAAATCTAAACATCTCACATATATTGAAGCAATATAGGGTTGGGCGAATGCTCAATATAAGACCATTTACTATTCTCTTGATTAATGCAACAATGTACACATCAAGCTGATCAAGTAAGGGAAAAACAGAATTTTACAGATAGTTAAACATTTTTCATTTTACTTACAATCATGATGGAAAAAGCTTAATTTAGAAGATTCAGAGTTCAAAACCGTGAGCTTTTTATGGAATAAACAACCCTTCGTTGAGCATTTCATCAGCTTTATTTAAGAACCGAACTTAATAAATCACAACTCATTGCACAAAAGAAACGTTGTACGGAACAGGAACATGAAACTAGAATGGATTTAAAGCAATTCAATTGGAGATAACAAGCTGATTGGAATCTACTGCAAAATACAAAAGAACAAAAAAAATGGGTACCTGATTGGATGGAATTGTGGCCATTGAAGGCAGAGTTGTAGAATAAGAATGCAATGAACAAAGAAGTTGAATGGTTGCTTTTAATCAGTATCTGATTCTCGACTCTTCAAAATTATTTTTGGAACGTGCGCTAGCTTGTAATTATCCTCCGTCAGTCCCTCCATACACCACTCAATCAATGCTGGGCAGCGTTCAATCCTCAAAATCTGAAGAGAAGTGAGGTGACGGGTGCCTTCTGGCAGGGATCTCAATCCTTCACAGTCACAAAACTTAAGATATACAAGGGAGCGTAGACCTTCCCAACCTTGCTCTGGTAAGCACTCCAGTGCACCACAATCAGTGATGGACAGATACTCCAAAGCGTTGAGGTGGAATAATTCATATGGTAATTCCTTCAATTGAGGGAAATGCCATATTAGTAGACTATGGAGATGAGTCAGGTTTGTCAACATCCCCTCTGGGAAGGATGTTAGGACCGTTAGGTCTTTACTTCCTCCGAGATGAAGGTAGGTAAGATGAGAGCACCGTGAGATTGTTCTCAGTAATTCATTATTATCTTCAAATATGGTTAGTGTCTCCATAGATGGAAGGCATGGCAACACAAGTCTAGGGCATTTATCGATGAATAATTTAGAAAGACACGGAAACATGTCCCTTCTTTCCACTTTAAATAACCGCTCCAACTTTGGTAGATATCCTAATACAAGTTCCTTCAGAGCTGGGAAAGCCTTCACCTCGTAACTTTCATCAATATACTGCAAATAATGTATGAAATATATATCTAGTTTTCTTAGACATGGTAGTTTACCAAGTGCTGGAAGCTGCACGCAGTTATCGAAACCAAACAATTGTAGAACAACTAAACTGTTGAGACTTCCGATCCAACTCGGCAAGTGTAATCCTTCGTAGTATTTTATTTTCAACACTTTGAGCTTTGAGTGAGGTTGAAGCCCTTTCAATACCTGTTCGGCATGAGTAGTATTGAACTTGGTATCACCACTGTTATTCCAAGACAAGCATAATCCGTGCAGGTCTGTTTTCCCTAACAGATTGGCCTCCCGAACTTCATCTATGCTTCTAACATTTCCAAGGCCTTGAATGCTCAGATTTCCTCCCAGCTTTAGATTGTGTAACTCTCCCAAGCTGTGCCCTTTCTCTAAACTCACAATGTATATATTCAATGTTCTTAGGCAACATAATTTTCCAATGTTAGGGAACACACGAGACAATGAATCAAAATCATCAACGACAAGATGTCTGAGATTCTGTAAGCAACTCAACTGTTCCGGTAAACATATAAGTTTACTAAAAGAATGCAGTTTCAAGATTTCCAATTTCCTCAAGCTACAAAGTGAGTCTGGGAGGGTTTCTGTGTGACGACCACCGTCATGAAGCTCCAGATACCTTAAATGATTTAAATACTGGAAGGATGGTAGCTTGACACAACATATGCGTAGAACACGAAGAGAACATTTTTTTGCAAAGCAAACAGAAATGGTGTTTTTGTTGCCAACTTCAAGCTGATAAAATGTTCGTAAAGATTCAACCTTGAAGAATCCCTTACTGAATGATTTTTCATCGTCAGAGCTGAAACTAATATGGTGTGTGTTTCCTGGCAAATTAATCGTGTTTACATTCTCCAGAACCATACACTCTTGCCCCATTACCGACTGAGCAAGATCATGGACAAGATCATGTATCTTGAAAGAAATGTGGCCTGATATATCATCCTCTTCAATATCTTGGAAGAATGATTTTCTGCACAATTCATTCACAATCATATTGCCAACACCTTCTACATCCAAGTTTTCCCTGGATGAAATAAACCCATTAGCCATCCAAAGATGAATCAAATCTTCTTTCTGTAGTCTTGTATCTTTGGGAAATATAGCACAGAAAGCAAAACACTGCTTTAAGGTTGGTGTTAAATGAAAGTAGCTCAACCTTAACGCAGGCAAAATAGAATTCTCATCCGTTAAAGTCCAAAGTCTACTTTCCTTAACTTCAAGCCATTCCTTTTTTTCACTCTTTGTGCGCAACAGACCTCCTAGTGCTTGTGCTGCAAGAGGCAATCCCCCGCACTTCTTTACTATCTCCTTGCCTATTGTTACAAGATCTTCACGCTCTTCTTTCTCAGGTCCAAATGCATATTGTTTGAACAATAACCAACAATCAACCTCAGATAGACCAGCCAAAGTAAGAGCTTGGCATGTTCCCATGATTGTTGCAACATCCATATCACGGGTGGAAACTAAAATGCAAGAACCTTTGGAGCCACAAGACAAAACAGATTTCAACTTATTCCATTTGTCTTGTGTTAATCCCTCCAGTTTTTGAGTTTTGTTCCAAACATCGTCTAAAACAAGCATATACCTTTTACCTTGCAAGAGTTCTTTCACAGATTCTTCTATTACATTTAAATTTGAGAGATCACACTTTTTTCTTTCGATGGATTCAAAAATGGAACATAGAATGTTGTTGACAGAGAAATTCTCAGATACACAAACCCAAATTTTTTTCTCAAAATGGCTACTTACCCTTTTGTCATTGTAGACGAGTTGAGCAAGTGTTGTTTTTCCAATACCACCTAAGCCAACAATGGGATAGACGGAAAGGAAGTCTGAGCCTTGTGCCTGGGCAAGAAGAAACTCCACAATCTTCTCTTTATAAGTATTTCGTCCATAGACTTGAGGTTGATCAATGATTGAGCTGGTTTGGCGCCATTCAGCCAATTCAGTACTTTGCCTTTCCCTAACACCCTCCTGTAGAAGAAGATTATTTTTACCTTCAGCGATTTGATCAAATCTCCTTCTGATCTCTGTCAATCTGCTGCCAACCTTGTGACGAAAGATGATGTTCTTTGGGCTGAAACAAGATAAACCCGCAAGTCGATGGGAATGTATGGAGCATTCATCAAGGATGTCATCTAGTACATATGCTGCATCTTTGACTTGGTGCAGCCAAACCTTTACAGAATGATTTGTCATTTGTTTCTCCTCAGCATCTTCAAGGACAGCATTGATCAGCATCAAAGTGTTTTTCAGTTTTTCAGTTTTTTCCTTAATTCCACAAATTGTTGCAAACTCGTTCTTAGCCAAAAAGATCAAATTCTCAACCGCTGGTCCAAGTAAGGCCTCAGCCATCTTCAGGAATGTGGAGATTGATGAGAGAAAAGAAAATATTAGAGATTGGTGTTACTTGAAAGAATGGTGATACAACACAATAAAGTGTACGTCGATTCATATAAAGGAGAATAAAATCGAAACATAACATTTATTCAAAGCAACTTCAAAGAGGCAACGACGCAAAGTTTATGCCAAGTGAAGTTTTATTCTTAACCAAGCAACAAAGCCAAGTTCCATAGAAGCGAACAACATATTCTCTCAACACTTCTTTTTTAATATGGATTTTCTTTTATTTTTTCTATCGTATTATTTCCTCTTTTTTTTTTACCCTCTTCTCTTCTATTTATAAAATTCATTTTCAGTAATTGATATACAAATATAATTTAAAATTATAAGAGCCTAATCAAAGGATTTTTTTAATATATTTCAAAAAAAGTATATATTATGTTAGATTAATCTAAACATAATCTATATAATAGAAATTTTTAATCCAACAACTGATTTTGAAATAAAATTCTCATATAAACTAATTAAACAGTATTATTATTAGTATAACTTAAGTTGATGTAATTCCTGTTTATGTAACATGTGTGTGTCAGGACCCATGCATAATGCGTGTTTTAATATTAGTATGTAAAAAAGTAAATTAAAATTATAAAATTGTATGATCAATATTGTTATTATCACATACATGGAATTATAAATAATAAAAGTTATCAATAGCATATGTTATAAAGCTTCCTATATAGAATCAAACAGTTGCTTGAAAGTTTAGTTGAAATTTCATTCATTTGAAAAAGAAAGGAATATATATAAAATAGATGTGGCTATGGCTGGTAATATCACCGTCAACTTGAATATATATTGATTATGAATTAAGCAGCATCAAAATTATTAAATACTCGCTTGGTCCTTTAAATTATATGCATAAATCACATTAATTTTTAACTTTATACAAATTTTATTTTTGTCAATTTTCAAGGGACAAGATTAAAAAAATTTAAAAGGAGGGATCAAATAGAAAAAATAGGAAAAAAATTATATATGATTATAATTATATTATATATATCAATGCTTAACAATTAACGATACTTATTGATATTGAGTTAATAGTTAACCGACGAAAAAAATTAGGATGCAGCTCAATATCTACTCTTATGGGATGAGTAAGTATCCTTCTCAAATGAACTCTCGTGTTACCTGGTATATTTCACAAGTGCAACATTTGCTGTTGAAATTTTTTCATTTATTCGTTTTCTTTTTACTTTCTAGCTGATTGAAAAATAATATCTAGTCATGGTTTGTTTCCATTTAAGCAAACCTTATCTGGCTGTCAAATTAGATTTTGGGCACGAGGAAGGTTTAGGGTTCAGACATCTTCACATGGTTAATAATACTTATATAATGAAGTTGTGTTGGAGACTTTATACCTCTCCTAGTGATCTATGGGCCCAGATCCTTTGTAAAAAATATAAGTTTTTTATTGAGCATAAAATTGCCCTTAGGACAAACAGTAGGTCCTCTACCCTTTGAAAGAGTTTAGTTTCAATTTGTCCTTTGTTTGCTAAAGGTCTTAGGTGGGATTTAGGTAATGGCTATCAAATTAGATTTTAGACAAATCACTGGGTGTCCGACTGTTCTCCCCTTATTCATTATGCTCTGCATCATATTCCTAATAGGAATCTGGACATTCGAGTGACCCTCTTCTCTATTGAGGGCAGATGGGACTGAGATAAAATTTTCCCTCTCCTTACCAATCCTATATGTGAAGCAATTGCTAAACTTACTTCTCCAATCCTAGCTAACAGACCTGATTCTGCTTCTTGGGCCCTTACTAGAAATGGATTCCTCTCTGTTAAATCTACTTATCAGCTAATTTTTCAAGACCAAACTACTTCTCCTTAGCCTGATTTCTTTAAGCTTGTTTGGAAGTGGGCAGGTCCTCCCAAAGTGGCCTTCTTCCTTTGGAAGATTTCCCATGGTTGTCTATTTACTAATGAGGAAATGTATTGGAGAGGTATGACCAACATAGCTACTTGTCCTAGATGAGAGGATGAGAATGAATCTATTATACATGTTTTATGTGATTTTTTTTATACTAGAAAGGTTTGGGATCACTTTATTTACTCTGATATGTGGGCTTGATTTTTCTCTATTAGTATATCAGACTGGCTCTATAAAAATTTATCTAGTCCTCAGTTAAATAATCACTTTAACTGGTTTAAACTTTTTAGTTTTATTACTTGACATTTATGGAAAGATAGAAATGATTTTATCTTTAATAATTGCTCTGTTCAGATCTCTGTGTTGGTTAGACAGATAATCTAAGATATTGAGTTTTCTGATTTTCTTAGCAGGAATCCTCATCTTTCCCTTCCCAGGTTAGTCATGAATCAAGCTAGGATCAGATGGGTTCCTCCCGCGAAGGAACAACTCAAATTAAATACTAATGGTGCTATTTGCCTTAATATATCTATTGTTGCGTGTGGAGATATCTTCAGAGATTGGAAAGGAAATGTTGTTGTTGGCTTCTATTGCTCGTTGCCTCCTTGCTCCCCTCTTGAAGCAGAACTCTAGGGACTTTTCTATGGTACTCAATTAATTTTGCAGTATGCTGGCCTAACCCCCTGTTGGATAAATATTGATTCGCAAGATGTCCTATACTGCTTTCAGCATGTTCAATCTCCTTCTTACCCCCTGTTTCATGTTAATTGTAAGATAAGAGACAATCTTAAGTATATTAAGTCTATTAGGCTGAGTCATATATTTAGGGAGACCAACCATTGTGCAGACTTGTTGGCCAAAGTTAGCCTGAAGTTCCCTTCCCTTTTAGTTTGCTTTACTGATGCTCCTTGTAGGTTGTTCCCTTCCTTATGCCTTGACTGGTGTGGTTGTTGGATCCCTAGGTTCACTCTTTAGTTTATTTTGTTATTTGGGCTGTTAGTCTCCTTTCTTAGAAAAAAAAAACCTACTTAAAAAAGCATAAATTGCTTTTATAAAAATGTCATATTTCATATTTTAAAAATTACCATACACTTTTAGAAGAGAGTTTGAAAAAATTCCTTGAAGTAACATGTAAAATTTATTAGAGCAACATGTTAGATAGTTCCTAAGTATAGTATGGAGATATGTTACATCAATTTTTTGTTTCTTGTTGTTAGCCTAATTTTGTATTTTATTTTATTTTTAAATTTTTTTGAAAAGACTTAATGAGTTGTGTATCAATTATATTTTAAAGCTTTATTTGGATGTTCAGAGAAGAGGGAAAAAAAAAGAAGAGAGAAAAGGAAAGGAAAAGAAGATTAAACTATTCTCTTGTTTGAATATTTAATATTGAAAGTTATGGATGACAAAAATTTAATTATATAAATGATATTATTTTTTACTCATTTAAATAATTAAACTTAACTTTAAATTTAAACTTATTTAGTTAATTAAATAAGTTTAGCTAAACATTTAACGGATGAGTAGTTGAACTCATTTAGCCAAACATTCAATTTTAGTTTTATGTGTATTTAATTTTCATGTGTATTTAATTTTAATTTTTTCACCAACACTTGATATATCTTAAAGTCATTGACGAGCTCTGTATCTATTAATTATGCTTTAAAAAAAGAGTAAGTTTTGTAGTTTGTACAAGCTAACGAACATTTTTACAATTATATACACTCTAAAAACAAAAAAAAAATGATAGTCTACCCTGGAAAAAAAGGGGGGGGGGGGGTGGGGGGTGGGGAGGGTAATAAATGGATTGAATCAAGTGGTGTAAATAAAACTTAAGTTTAACTTGTAAACAAATCTTAAATTTGATACATTTATTTAAATGAGTTAATTTAAAGCTTGAATTTAATCTTATTAAAAATTTGAAACTTAGCTTAACTCGTTAGTTTGTTTATAATTTGTTCATTTTTTTTAAAGTTTTGAATAATTTTTTTATTAATTAATATTTTTATCTAAAAATGAAAAAATAATAATAAAATATAATTTTATCTAAATGAAAATAATTAAGAATAAAAATATTTTAGTATTAAAATGGTATTTTTTTAAAAAATTATGATCACTTATTTAAAATATAACTCTTGAAACAAGTTACTCTACTTAATAACTCTTTGTGTGAGCTATTTATGTGTGTAAAATTTTAAGTAAATATAATAAATAAAATTTTACAAAGTTTATAAAGTTGAAGCTTTAATCATTTAAATAACTAAACCTAATTTTAAATTTGAACTTATTGTTTAGTTAAATAAAAAAGTTCAGCCAAACATTTAACGGGTGGACGAGTAGTTGAACTCATTTAGAGTAACTTCATAATTCTTATATGATGAATTGAGACAAGGCAAATGTAATACTGAACTAGATATATGCGAGCAATCGAAAGTGAAGACCTAAAGTAAATTGCTTTTCAGGGTTTGAGAGGATTCAGAGGATTTTAAAAGAACAATAAATTATCATACTGTTTAAGAATATACTTACTAGTATTGTTTGGTTAACTACATAAGTTTAAGAAGAGTTTGAAAAAATCACTCTAGGCAACATGTAAAATTTATTAGAGCACAAGTTATATAGTATGGAGAATGCTACACCAGTTTTCTGTCTTCTGCTATTAGTCTAATTCTGTATAGCTGGTACAAGTTAAGATAACGTCCATTTGTGTCAATTCATATAAATACACAGCCCCTGTCAATGAAAGGAAACAAGCCACATTTACAATCTTCATCAAACTCTATTATGGCATAGACGCAAGATCATACTCTTCTGCTTCTGCATTAAAACAATCAAGGAGGATTCAGCAGCCACCAACCCTCCACACAATGATGCTGAGAGCGATCAGTTTCAGAATCCTTCTAGTCCATATTAACTCCATCTTGGAGAAAATCCAAGCACCGTTCTTGTAGCCCCTCCTATGAATGGCACAAATTACCATTCATGGAGTAGATCAATGAAGCGAGCCCCCTCCAAGAATAAACTCAAATCCATCAATGGATCCATTTCTATACCAGAAAAACTAGCAAGTTGTG